TGGGAAGAGGCGATAGGCCATTCCCGCGGTTCTCATGAGGAATTGAGAGGTTACGGGTACAAGTATTTCTTTTCTGTAGGATATCGAACCTACCCGAGAGGTGGTCACCCGGCGTCGGTTATTCCGGACACTTATCTTGATGGAGCTTATAGTGAGAGCGGCGAATCCATGAGCTTGAGGCCTTTAGAGTTTGAGCCCGCAGGAATTAGTGTAGGTGATATAGGCGGACTGGATGTTTGATGCTATACCTTCTACTGGTGGACCGGACACTTCGACATGGCCTTGTACGTGGAAAAGGGTGTTGTTAGGGAGGCCGGGTATTTGGATAGCTGGGAGGAAGCGATCGGTCACACGCAGCTTGAGAGGCGACTGCTGGGGAGTTACGAAATTGACTATTTCTACTCGTTGGGGTGTCGGACGTATCCGCGAGGGGGTAGGCCTGTCCCCACTATCCCGGACGCCTTCCTGGACGGGTCGGACGAGTGGAGAGCGCTAGTTCAGATCATAGAGGAGATAGTCCAAGGGGATGGTTAGGATCATAGAGGGTACTGAGGAGGAAGGGGTTCGGATAGAAAGGCGGATTTAAGCAAGGACAAAGAGTGCTTCAGCGTCCCCTTAGACCACCGCACGGAGAGGTATCTAGCCGGCCGCGAGAAAGGGTTAGAGCTAGAACAAGGGGTTTTTCTTTGGGCTCGTTTCGCAGTAGGAACTTGGGAAGGGGATAGGTGGTCCCGAAATAGGCCCCTGAACGGGAAGAGACCCAGACGAACAGTGATTCGTGCGGAAGGGACAGTTTATTTGAGTAAGGAGGCCTGGGTGGACTATGTTACACATTTGGTCCTGGGGTGGTACCGTGCCGATCATTGGGAGGCGCGAGCGGGTCCAATTTTGAGGTAGATCTTTGAGGCTGATCCCCTTAGACACTGCCCGCCCCTTGAGATAAGGGTGACCTGCGCGCGAGACGAAGAGTACCCACACGCTACGGGGTGCGTTAGGGCCATATTCCCATCATTCGTTTTCCGAAGGGTGAGCGGGAAGGAGGAGCAGTACGACAGGGTCGTGCGGTCCATAGTACGGGAAAAGGGGTGGCAGCTCTCTGTTAGGTCGCTCCATTGGTACTACACCTATTGCGTGGATAACCCGGTACCATACGGGATCAAGGCGTGTAGGATTCGTGCCGGGATCTTTAGGGAATCCACCCGGGACCGCGAGGGAGGAAGGGACTACGGTTACCAAAGAGTCTTCGGGGTGCCACAAAGGATCTTCTAAACGAATGGTGTTCCACGATAGGGAGCAGGGATGCTTCGTAGAGTCCTCTTTAGAAGACCGTGGGACACTCAGGCTGGTCCCTAGCAACAGGGAAGTCCCAGATTGGGAAAGGATAGAAGGAGGGAGGTCCACGGTAAGTGGGGGATTCGTGTGGGTAGAGTCCAAAGAAGAAGAAGGCCAAGGTCTTGGGCGGAGTCTTGAAGTAACCGCGGTTATTTTCATAGCTCTGGAGGCTTGGGCTGAGTTTGTAGTACCCCTAGTTCTAGGACAAGGGGGTGGGCTGGAAAAATTGTTGCGGGAGGCGAGAGAGGTGAGAAGGGAGTGGGTGAGTGAGGTTAAAAAGCATTTTACCTTTGTGTCTGTGGAGAGGGAGAGGTTCGCGTGCGAGGGAGAACTTCCGAGGTCAAGTTACCTGTTAACTGTGAGGGTGCCATCTTACCTGTTCCCTAGAGCGAACGAGGGAAAGATAGTGGGTCTTCTAGAGAGAGGTAGGAGTTTGGGGCTTACCTTCAGGGCCCTGTGGGTACTGTATATGCACTGCGTCGATCTGGGTGTACCGCCACGCAGAAAACTCTGGGGTATTTTTCAGAGGCTAGGGTCCCTAGAGAAACCCTTCACTCTCTCTCCGGAAAATTATTGCAGGTGGGTCTTTAGAACGACGATAGCAGATGGTGAAGTTCATGCTCAGTGAAAACAGGTTAGTAGAATCGATAGAGGCCAGTGACACCGCGAAGGTTTTGATTCTGGGGGAGCCTCAAGTGACTCCTTATTGGATGAGCGTTGAGAAGGGGGATTAATCAGAGAAGGGGCCTACGTGTGGGTTCGAGCGCGAAGACTCACCTGGAAGGAGGGTGTGGAAAGAGGAGGCCCGCCCGACCTCGGTCGCTTCCTAGAGATCTGGGCAACCATTTTTTTCGACGAAGAGAGGTGGACCGAAGTTTGGAGAGGTTTGGTGACCGGGCGGCTCACACATTTTGAATACCGAGAATCCGCGAGGCTGTTGGCAAATAACCTGGTGTTAACCGACTACGAGGAAGGGACTTTCGAATTGTGGTCCCTAGATTCCTTCGCCGAGCCCGGAGAGGTCCCTCGCGCTTCCGGGGTCCTCCACGCTAACCTGCCCCAGTTCGTGGCTAGTTCGTTCCTGAGAGACCCGGAGGAGAGGGTGATAGCAGTGCTTAGGGCGGCTCAGGAATCCGGAGTGCGGACTAGGGGGTTGCTCTGGCTTTATACTCGGTGCGTGGACGCGGGACTTCCCCCGAGAAGTGAGCTATCCGCCATTTTCGGGAGATTGACGGAGTTTGAGGGGCTCCGATCCCTCGTCGCGGACGTTCCGTACGCCCGCTTCTTCGGAGAAGAGCAGCTGGCTAGCCGGAGGGGTTTCGAGGGCCGATGATAAGGGGGATCCCGAGAACTCTCTGGGCGTCCATAGAGCCCGTGAAGGATACCGGGGAAGTTATCAGTGTCACTCTACCTAGGGCCCGGTTGACTGATCCAACTAGAACTTTCCTGCGAGAAGAAGGGGAGATCCGGCGTGGTAAGACGTTTGTACATTTTGCAGTGAGTCGCCAGGGGGAAGTAGTAATTGGAGAAGCCCGAATATTCCTTTCGAAGGAGGGCTTTGTAGAGATAGCGCGTAGCTTACGGATTGGGCAGGACCCTCTCTAGGACGCTCGAGCCGTGAGAGGCCGCCTAGGAGAATTAGTGGAGGAGTTGAGGCCTCACGAAGGGTGCGGAGAGGAACATCTAGTGACCTACGGGGGGTGGGAAGAGATACCGTGGTTCCTCTCCAGCGAACCTGTGGAGGTCCCCCGTTTCATTTTTTAGCGGATTTACCCCTCCGAGGCTGTTAAGAAGGCGGTGGGAATAAGGGTTTCTATCCTAAGTCAGTTCAGGTTCACGGGATCAGACCTACACACCTTGTTAACTTGGTGTTTTCGGGATCCCTATAGAGAGGATTGGTCGACTCTAGAGGACCTGGGTTACGCATTTGAAGGGTGGGGTCGACACGCGAAGGAATCTAAGATATCGTGGAGGTACTTAGGTAAGATCTGCGAGGGAGAGCTAGCAGGGTTGGATCCCTCAGACTTGATTCGGATAGCAATTGCGTGTCGTCAACGAAGGTTGGGGGATGACCGAGCCGGACCTTGAGGAGTTTGTGGGGTTGAATAGAGTAAGGGAGGAAGTTCACCGGATCCTTGTTCTGTGCTGGGAAGAAGAAAGAAGGGCTAGACCCGGGTCCTTGGCTAGGATCAAGCTGCTTGAGACGGCCACAATCGCTATCCTCAACGAGGTCACAATAAACCTTCTCTCGTGGTGAGGGGATGAGAACCACGTTCGTCTCCAATAGGATTCGTTGGGAGTTAGAGACCTACGAGGACGGTAGCGAGGTTAGGGTCGAGGGCGGTGCAGAACTTAACCCAGACTTGGGGGGAGACCGAGTGGTCCGCGTCGAGACGGAATTTCTAGTAGAGGTCCGATGGCTAGCCTTGTGGAAAAAAAGAAGCTGGACCATGCTAACTACCTTTTCGATTCACGTTAGGGACGCTAGTGGCTTGAGATTCTCGAGGACTTGGAGGGAGCCCTTGTTGGAAGTAGAAAGAAAATTCGAAGAGGACTCTAGATTTCTAGGTACGCCACTGACATCAAGGACACACCTTGTGGAGACCCGATTTTGGGATAGAACGGGAGAATACGAGGAGGTTCTGCGCCAAACTTTGCGAAGGGGCGCAGGGACTGGTCGCGCCGAGTGCGAGGACTCGTTGCTCGAGGCCGCCACAAGGTTGGCAGGCGTAAGGTGAGGCTCCTATGATTAGATACGAGAGGGGGGACCCTTACGGTACCTTTGATAAGGCTCTAACGTGGGCGGGAAGACATGGAGTGACTCTCCCGAAAGTTAGAGGGGAAGGTGAGGTGACTACTGAACTCTTCGAAATTCAGGAGCAGGAGACATTGGTCAGGTTCTTTGTGGCGTCCGAGGGGAGCAGTTGCACTAGGAAAGCAGAAATATACTTGTCCCCTTACGCCTGGCTAATCTTCGCAACCGAATTAGCGGAAGGAAAAGATCCTCTAGGCATCGCCGAAAGGGCCCTAGAACGAGTGGATTGATTGAGAACGGGTGGCACCGAGGGACCCGTGATTGATAAGGTAGAATACCGACGGAGGGAGGGAGTTTCGAGGGCAGCCCACGGGAGAACTTGGCGTATCCCTACCTGGGCCTATCAACGACTCTATGCAGACGACGGGACCACGAGGAGAGTCCGATTAAGGAGTCAAGTGATAGAAAAATACCCTCTGGGTGAAGAAGGAGGCCACGAGTTATTTAACTAATGCTGGGAGTCGAGAGAGGACACCGACTTCGAGTGGTGGACACGCGTTGGGGAGTTCATCAAACCTCTATTCTCCGGACAGCTAGGTGATGTGGACAGGGATTTGATTAGGAGATGTGCACAAGAAGGGGTTAGGGGCGTCTCGGATCTGGAGATTGCGAATCTTGCATTGGGCGCTAGCGAGGAGAAGAAACTGAGAGATTCCTGGTGGACAGTAACCAGCGAGGAGTCGGGAGGAGAAAGTGCTAACGAGGACTCTAGTGAAGAGAAGGAGGGATCGGAGGAAGAAGAGAGCTCAGAAGTTAACGCAGAGAGTAGTGAGAGAGACGAGCAGGAAGGTAACACGGACGATAGTGAAGGAAGCGACTAGAAATTGCCAATAAGGGTGCATGGAGAGTGAAGTGGAGGCTGGTCTCTCTAGTCCGCCGGAAACCACTAAAAGGAGGGGGATAGTAAAGAGTCCCGAGTTGGGGGCCAGTCTAAGTAGTGTAGTGGAGGAAATGATGGGGGGGGCGAAAGCGCTAGATAGGGTCGAGGGAGGTCCGGAAATGGCTTCGGAGGAAAGACAAGCCTCGGAGGGGAAAAGGACTGGCACGGAAGTGCGGGTGCACAGGGATGTGGGGTCGCAGGTGCCGGTGAACGAAGGGGTCACCGAAGCCGCGAGAGGCGTTCCGGTGGAGTCCCGGTGGGCGGACCTAATGGATGCGGAAGCAAGGTTAGAAGAAGCGCGGGAATTTCCTAGAGATAGACAGGGGTATCGACCTCTTAGGAGGGAGGAAGATGAGTGTCAGGACAGGAGGGACTTGGGAGAGGGGAGGTCAGCAGAGGCCGGCGGCAGGCCGCGGAGATGGGTCGAAAGGGTCCTGGAGGCCGTCACCAGTGAAAGGCAGGGCTTGGTGGGGCCGCGATCTGGTGTGGAAATGCGAATGCCTGCGAGAGAAGGGGCAATCGAGGGCTCGAGGGACCTTCCCATAGAATCTCGGTGGGGGGATTTACCGGACGCAAGAATGGGAGAAGTCCTGGAATTTCCAAGAGATAAGGGGGGGTACCAACCACCCCGGAGAGAAGAGGAAGGGGGACCAAGTAGAAGGGGCTTTAGAGACGAAAGGCCGGCGGAGGCTGGTGATAGGCCACGTAGATGGACCGTAAGAGAAGTAGATACTGCATGGGCGCCCGGCGAGATAACAGGTAGGAGCCAAGGGGTGGAGGCCTGGAGAAGCTTTAGAGGGCAGGACCACGCTCGGTGGGAAGCGGACTGGCCGGATGAGCGGGGCCGCTACGCGGAGGACCCCTGGGAGCCACCAAGACCTCGAGGCCGGATAGAGGAGCCCGATCCCTCGTGGTACAAGCCATATGATCCGGCAATCAATGGGCGAATGGAAGGTCCCTATTTTCGCCGATACGACGACCGACGGGTACCGTATTACGACGTCAACCTGGGTCTGGAGGCGCTTTTCTTCGATGGACGAGATGTAACAGGGTTCGTGGAGAAGTGGGAGAGCTATGCTTACCGTAAAAGATTCTCCGAAAGAGAGTGGATCGACTATTTTATCCAGCACTCGGACCCCGAGTTAGACACCACGATCCGGGCTATCCACCCCTCCGACGGCATGTGGAGGACCTTCAGGGCGAGCCTATTGCAGACTTTCTCCTGTGACGACCTGACCCCAACCGTGGAAGGCTTGAGACGAATTACGAGGGGGGATCGAGAGAGCTTGGTGGCCTTCACCCGAAGGTTCAAACGCCTGTCCCAGATCCTAGTGGACAGGGGAATGCTGTCTGAAGTAGATAGGTGCGTGATGTTCATGTTGCACCTACCAGAGGAGAAGAGGAAAGAGGTCCTTGAAAAGGCCCCAAGGGATTCCGCAAATTTCGAGAAAGTCGCGGAGGTAGTTTTCACAGGGGGAGGAGTAGATGTGAGGGAGTATATGAAAGAGACCTTGGACATGGCACTCCGCAACATGCGAGGCACGCGAAACGATGGTCCAAGGGGGAGCGATAGACCGCCCCCGGGCCCACCTGTTCCTCGGTGGGGAGAACGACCGACCGGATGGAGGAACGAATCAAGTGGCCAAGGAGGTTGGAGGAACGACCGGGAGATAGGGGGGAGTCGTGGTTCCGATTGGGGGAGTTCCCATTGGAAGGATGCTAGGGATGGAAGGTGGGGAGATGCCCCTCCAGCAAGGGCCCCTGGGCCGCGACCGGAGGTTAGGGCGCCACCACCCCCAACACCACCGCCACCGGCTCCGCCTGCGCCTATAGTGACAACAACACAAGGGGGTCTGCGCCCCAACAATCCCAAAGCTCGGGCCGGGTGTGTCTACTGCAATGAAGAAAATCACATCAAGCGGGACTGCCCTTATCTCACGGAGGCTTTGAGATTGGGAGTGGTCAAGCTAAATGAGAACAAGTGGGTTGTGTGGGGAGATAGCGGAGAGGCGGTCTCCTTTTACCCATCAATGAAGGTGAACGTGGACAAGAGGGTGGCCCTTCAGGAGACTAGACTGGGAAAGAAACCGAAAGTCGGAAGCTCCTACAACACGGCTCACGTCCAAACGGTGGAGTCACCGGGAGGGGTGTCCATTAGGGAGCCTCAAGCATTAAGTTCATAGAAACCCAGCGAGAGGAAGAGAGGCCCTGCCTAAGGGTGAGGACGCAGGTCGGGGCTGAGACATCTGAGAACCAAGTGAGCGTGACGGAAAGGACAGAAGTGAAGAGCGACGACAATGACCAGCCAATGACCGATGCGAAAACGGTGGAGGAAAAAAAGGAGGAGCCCACATCGCCAAAATCGCCGAAGAAAATGAAGCCCAAAAAGTTCGAGATGAAGTACACTTTGGATGAGATAAACACGGTAGCACCTCTTAGGAGGACTCTGATGCAGCCCATGCAGTGCACCCTTTTAGAATATCTAGCCGCGAGCAAAAGTGCCAGGGAGGAACTTCTAAGCATCACTAGGAAGGTTAGACTCCCGATCGTTGGGGGACCCACGGTACCGGTGGAAGGGCCAGCCAAAGAAGAAGCACAGGCCTCCCGCATTACTCTGGAGGAGCTACCTGCCAACTTCTTCTCGAGAGAAGAGGCCAAGAAATTCTATGTGTTAGGTAGCGGCCAACTCCAGGCAGTGGTAAGCGGAAAAAAGATGAGGGCTCTGGTAGACAACGGGTTCGAGTCTACGGTTTGTAAGGACTCCATCACTCGGGAGCTGGGATTGGAAATAGATCGAGGGGTAGCAATGTCAATGGTGGTGGCCGATAACAAGCTGCAACCGGCGGAAGGGGTGTGTCATAGCCCCGTGATTGAGGTAGCTGGGGTAGAGGCCACGGTTTCGATCTTTTCGGTAAAAGAATGCTCCTCCGAATTGATCCTCGGGAGAACCTGGCTGAGCGCGGTTCACGCAACCACAGTTGATTTGCCAGATGGAAGTCAAACCCTCTCGATCCAAAGTCCTCATGGAATCCAAGTGGTCCTAAAAACCGTAGACGCTCAAGATGAACGTAACCGGACCAGCCTTACTAGGCGCAAGGGGAGCCAGTCGAGGGTGCGCCGGGTCCGTCTAGAGGAAGTACCCTTGATGGATAGAGGACCCAAGGGGGACCAATTGGAGGTTGAGGACGTGGGGGATAGGATTGTAATTAACGGTATGGGGTACGAGAAGGAAGACGAGGAGGAGGAATTCGGTGGGTGCGTGAGCATGTCTTTTTTGGAGGGATCCCCCTAGCCGGCGGAGTTAAGAAGCACAAAACCATGGCGGAGAAAGTAAAACCCGCCGCGGTCAGCCGGGATAGAACGGGGGAGGCTACAATATCGGAAGAGGAGATATCCGATATCATCCGGAAGAGGAAACAGACGGAAGGGCAAAGGATAACGACCGATAGACTGGCGAAAATGGATATAGGAGATGGGAATCTCACGGAGGAAGAAAACGAGTTCATAGCGATGACCTTAAGGGGCTGCGATAAGGCCATTGCCTTTGATGACTCGGAGAGAGGGAGAATCGACCCAAGGTATGCTAAGCCTGCCCGGATCCACACGGTCTCGCACGTCCTTGGAAGGATAGGCCCCAATGGAAGTACGCTCAAAAGGAGAAGGAAGAGATAGTGTCGGGTCCACCCTTAGGAGAAATCGTCGTCCGTACAGGTAGTGACGGAAGGCTTTTAGGCAATGCAGTACCCCCAACACTTCCTTCTTGAATTGGCTATAATTTCTCTCTGCGGGATTCAAGGTCCGACTCTCGAATCGCAACGGTCTCTCTCTCCCCTCCCCATCCTTTTGCGACGAAAGGCCCCCCACTGAGTGAGGTCCAGCGTCCGTGGATACTATAAACGCGCGACTCTCCTCGTCTTCGAAAAATGGGACTCCTAGGACCTCTCCACCTTCGCGGAACTCCCCCTTCAAAGCTTCCATGGCCGCGGCTTGCTCTTCTCCCCAAACCCATCCTTCCGATCTCCTGAGGAGTCTTCTCAGGGGTTCTGCTTTCTCTCCATAGGCTTTTATGAAGATTCTCCAGTAGCCCACAACCCCTAGAAACTGGCTGACCTCTGTTATGGATTTGAGCGGCGATGGCCAAGTCATCAACTTTACTAGTTTCTCGGGATCAGGCCTCCGCCCTTTCTTATCGCAAATAAACCCTAATATCTTGATGGAGGATACGCCCCAACGACTCTTAGTCCCGCTTACCGTGAGGTTGGCATCGTCTAGTTTCTCAAGGACGTCCCTGAAGTTTTTCATGTGGTCGACCACAAACTTTCTAACCCCAGGGAAAACCTGGGTCTCATCCTTCTCGACCGGCCCTTTTATTGGGAAATCATCCAGGAAGACCTCCACCTTCTCCAATATGAATTCCTTGAGGACTGCGATCATGGCCCTTTGGAACACGGCTACCCCATTCGTCCAACCCATCAGTACCACCATCATTTGAACCATCCCTAAGGGTGTATACATGGTGGTCATGTGCCTGTCCCAGTAATCCAAAGGAATTTCGTCATAATAGAGTATATTGAGCGACCCGCCGATCCTTCCGCTAGCAAGTCGGCCTCAGGTATAGACCCCACGTCTCTTACGGTGACTGCATTGGTCCTCTGGAGGTTCTGGATCCATCTTAGTTTGTTGCTACTCCCCTTCCTTAGAAAGAACCACTTATTGGAGTAGGCACTCTCGCAAGGTTCCGCGACGAATGTCCTGGTTTTTTCCTTGATGAAGCAGTGGCCGCAGTCCTCCAAAAGGATTTCTCACTGACAGATCCGACCATCGCTCGCTGGATGATCCATATCAGGCTTTATGACTATAGGGTCGAAAGGATATCGGGGGCCAAGAACCAGGTCACCGATGGATTGTCCCGGCTTCCCATTCGAGAGGAGGACTTGCCTAGGCTTAAGAAGGAAGAGGAGACAATGGCCGAAAAGGCGATAATGAAAGTCGCCGCTAATAGGGCGCAAGTAGCGGGGAGCAGCCGAGGGAAGAAGGAGGCCCAAGGACTTTTCTCGCGAATCTCTACGACGTGAAGTACCGAGATATAGGACTGTACTTGGTCGGTTGGGAAACAGGGACTGAAAGGATCCAGCAAGAGGCACTGGGATATTGCCTGCGGGGAGGCCACCTCTTCAAAAGACCCACCAAGTTCGCGATACCCATGAGGGTGTTGTGCGATCCGGAGGAGAAAAGCGCAGTCATAGAGGAGTTACACGATGGGGTCGTTGGGGGTCACAGGGGGGTTAAAGGCACTTTCGATAAGGTCCGCAGGCTTTATTGGTGGGACGGGCAATACACCGAAGTGGAAAGGTACTGTTCGACCTGTGAAGCTTGCCAGAAGAGGTCGACGGTTCGATACAAAGAACCCTTAGTTTCGTCGCTTCCCACGGTCCCGGGCGAGAAGGTCCATATAGACTTGGTGACCATGCCAAAAGGGGTCAGTGGTCTTCGGTATATAATCAACGCCCGGGATGACCTCACCGGATTCGTAAAAGCAAAGGCCATTAAGAAAAAGACGGCGGAGGAGGTGAGTGATTTTCTCCTACAGTATATCGCGCGGTATGGGTGTGTCGGGAGAATAGTCATGGATAGGGGAGCTGAGTTCTTGACCCAAAAGGTAAAGGGGTTATTAGAAAAGGCAGGGATCGGGGCGGCCTATACAACCGCTTATCACCCCCAAAGCAACGCGCCGGTAGAGAGGGGGCACCGGACACTTGTGGAAGCCCTAGCAAAGTGGTGCAAGGGTCGCGCAGAACAATGGCCTAAGTATTTACGGTACGCAGTTTGGGCAGACAACATCATGGTCAAATCGAGTATTGGGTACCCTCCTTACACCCTTTGGTTCGGTAGGCATTGTCCCCTACCCATTGAGTTCCACATTGACACTTGGACAAGTGTCTCATGGAAAACCAACATATCTAGGGGTGAGCTATTGGAAGCACGGATACAGCAGATAGCCGAGAACTTGGATGCCGGGGTAGCCACGGCCAGTGAGAACATCGAGAGAGAGAGGGTGAAAGGGAAAGATAGGTGAGACAAAAATCTGCGGGCCCGAAAGGCGCCATTAGGGATTGACGACCTAGTGCTGATGTACGATTCGTCACTAGAAAAGACCTGGAGCCGAAAATTGGCGAACCGATGGATGGGGCCATATAAGGTTCTAAAGAGATTGGACGGGGGGGCTTATATGCTTGCTGAATTAGATGGGAGTAGGCTAAGGGACCCTGTCGCAGGGGCTCGTCTCAAAATCTTCCGATCAAGAGGGACCCTTGGGGAGGAGCCAAAACGAAAAGGGAAGGAAGTCCTCGAAGCAAAATTGACCATCACTCATGAAAAAGGGGAGACCTCCAGACAAGGGGCCTCGTCTCGCCCAACCAGAAAGGGGTATAAGGTTCGAAAGCCTTCGCTACCTAAGACCCCTAGGAAGAAGAAAAGGCCTAGAGAAGAGGAAGGTGACGCCGACCGGTTAGGGAAGCGCAGGCTAAGAGAGAGGAGGAGTGCCTCAAGGGAGCCTTGAAAATCAAACGGGAGAGAGAAGAGAGGAAACGGAAGAGGGAAAGGCACGAGAAGAGGAAGAGGAGACGAAAACGGTCGTAGGATGATGCGTCATGAATCTTAGTCCTAGGAAGGGAGATTGTATCATAGTTAAAGAGGGACGGGTATCACGGAACCAACGGGAAGGGTGTACCATAGTTAGGGAAACGTGAGTCGGGAAAGGGCAGTATGTTGTGACACCGAAAGGGATTTTGTACCTTAATTAGGAGAAACGAGCATAGTTAGGAAAAACGGGCGTCGAGGGGCGTGGGTAACCAAAGGAACCAGGGGAAATGGGATGAGCTAAAATGAGGAAAGGGGAAATACATTGGGAAATGCTCGCCGGGGACGGCGAGAGATGGGGTGTGGGCTGGTTGTCGGGCGGCTGTCTACCYGCCGAGKTTTTTTTTWWTKAAATATACACYTTTTTTTYCTTTTTTTTGCTATTTTGATTGGGTTTTGTCGTATGTGTGCGTGTGGACATGCTATTTGTGGATGACCTCGGGCGTCCGGGTCTTCGTACTAACCTTGCGATTGGCTGGAGGCACGGTCCGAACCTTGGGCGCAAGCAGGCTCGGGCGGACCATAAAAGATTGAAGTTTCGGTGCCAAGATCTGACAAAGTCGGGGAAGGCAACATGCATCAGAAGAGGCCTTGACCAGACAAGAACCGGGCGGTCGGAGGTGGTCCAGGACCTCGGTCGTGAAGAATCTCCCGGCTACCGCGGGCGCCCGAGGGGAAATTTGATTGCGCTACGGTCTCGGGAGATCAGGAGAAATGCCACGGCTCCGCCAACCAATACGGCGACGCAATTCTG